TCTGGCCTTTATAAGTTATTGAACTTGGTTTCAGACTCTGGAAGAACAAAATCTTTGAGGGTGATGTCCAAAGGCTCGGTCTAAGGGACAGGAGGATGAATTTCTCTTCCACCTGATATGATCTGCACTGCTGGACAGTTGAGAAGCACAATACCAGTTCATCAGCACCAGTGCAGATGAACAGTCCAGTACTTCTTCTGCCAACACTGACTTAGAAATCTGTGAGAATTTTATTTTTATTTTTTTTGCTTGAAGTGTTTTGGGGGGTTTTTTCTAAGTGCTGCTCTATTGAAACACGGCTGTACAGTTGAAATAAGTTTGTTAGAACAAGAAGAAATAATGTATTTTTGAAACTATTTAAATCCCTGACTTTGCACTGATTGGCCTTTGGTTTCACAAAGCAGGAGACGGGTGGAAGCCACTGAAACCTTTTTTTCAAAAGCTGCTGTCAGATTAACAGGGGAGCACACAAAGAGGTTTATGGACACAAATTGGGAGAGGTGGCACGCTCAGCTGATCAGTAGAACACCACACTAGATTTTGAACAAAAAGTGTTTTCTTCAAAGCCACTGAAATAACACACTTACTTTTGTAATGAGTCGTAATAATCAGCGGTAGAATTTGTTTTTTTAGGGCTGAGGGTGTACTGTCATCACCTTCCCAGGCGGGCGAGTAGGTGGGCGAGGACACCCAAGTGATTGATGCTGAGAGACTGGCCAGCTGCTTCCTGTTTTATCATTGAATTCCTGGGAGAAAGGAAAAACACACACATAAACAAAGCAGGTCCCGTCTGTTCAGTTTTGTAACTAATGTGTCACACTCATGACTAAATTCTTCCCTACTGAATTGAACAGATAATATTTTACTGTTATAACAGGACTACAGTATTTCTCATATGACAGGATCATTTCAAACTTGTTACAATAAAGTTAGAAAAAGTCACAAAGTACATTAAAGATGGCTTTTAAAAAAGATTACACTAACTTATGTATGCACTTAAAAAAGTGTGAAATCACTAAACCTGTGTTGAGCCCCGCCTTTCAGTAGCACACCACTGAGCTCCCAAACTGCTGTGAAAATAAAGGCCACACCTGTGTTATTTTCCTGTGAGGAAATGATGAATATATCTTTGCAGACTCTGATACGAGGAGTCAATTTGCATTGTGGAATGTTTACAATAATTAGAGGCCACATTACTGAAAACACAAGAAATCACAAAGTCACAGTGAAAGAAGAGTTATCTGCTCCTATGGTCACTCTAGGTCGTGGTCTCTATCCAATGTGCGTATTTATTTCTGCTGTTTATCATAGGAGGACGCAAGAAATTGTATGTATTTATTGAGCTGTGATTGAATCAGGGTTAAAACATTTTAAAAATAAATATTTTTATAGGAATGTGTTGCTTTGTGACCAAAAGAAGATACTGTAACTTTTGCAGGTCGCACCAGTTTTCTGACTTTCTAAAGTCATGCTGATGCTTTGATTTCTGAATGTAATGCACCTTATTCCTTTCTCTTTTCCTGTGTGTAATGGTCCGTTTTTTGTTTTTGTTTTTGTTTTTATTTTTCCTTTGATTTTTGGAGCAACACTGGCTCTTACTGAAAGGATTTAAAATTGCTTATCTGTTAAATATAGTTTTTGAAAGGTTTGTGTGCAGGTTGTGCTTGACAGAAAAATTGCAGATACTTTTGATATTCCCCGACTATGAGTTGCATTAAGATGTCACCTGCTAATTAGAAAACTTTAAATTGAGTTTCTATTTTTTGTTATGTCAGCGATTTTATAAAGTATTATGTTAAATTTAAACAGATCAACAAACTCAACAAAATCTGCTCTAGCAATACATGCCAGCTAAATAAAGTCTAATACAAAAATATGCACCTCAACTATAATATACAACTTAAAAGAATTCTGGTTTGTTCTCAATGTCAACAATTAAAAGTTGATACCTGATTGCTTTATGCTTTGTCTGTACATTTTTTTTGGTGTAGATTAGGTCATCTTATGTCCTGCTCCTTGTGGAAAGCACAATTTATACCTCTCCTGTTTCCTTGTCAGCGGCACGACGTCAGTGAAATGTTATCATTTATGTTCGCTTTCCGTCCTCTTGTGGTTAACAGTGGTACTGCAGAATGGGCTGTATGAGGATTACCAAAACTTGGGTCCTTTCACTTCAGGTGTTTGTGTGTGGATTGAAGCACTCGTGAGTCCTTAAAAAGTTAGACACAAATCATTGTAAACATTTGTGAAGGTTCGTTTACGCTTGTGGATAATATCTTACGCATTTGCAACCCTTTGGAGGCAAATTTCTCTCTGTAGAAGATGGATTTGCTTTGCTTGCTATTCTTGCACAATGTTCATATGAAATTATTAGAAAAATGTTGTGTATATCCTAGGATCAACGAGACTCTGAAACTGTAGGCGTGCTTACACGCAGCACATAAAAACATGCAAATGTGACTAAAGATGCAAACTTTTACAAGGGTAATTTACATTTTATTGAAATTCAACTAAATAACAATGGAAACTAAAATAAGACTGAATACATAACACATAAAATACTGCGCATGCAGATGTACATGCTTTGACTTTGCTGCATTTAGCAGAAGCATAAAACATTGGGAGATACTTTCAAAATAATGCTTTTAAAGTGCTGATTCTTTCGTGCTTTTGAGTACTGTAAATAGCCTTATTTTACATCTAATGTGGCTGTAGTGTTAAAAGAAAGTGAACAAACTTGGGGCCTGATGTCTGTACTATTCACAAGGAAGAAGATTAAATTCATGTTTTAGAGCTAAACTAAGTACTTTTTAAGTTAAAAAAAATTTTAAATAATTGAAAAAAATGTGTTAAATGTGGAATAAATGCATTCCCCGTATTAACTAGGGTTAAAAAAATATGCATCTTTTCACTGTTCTGTAATTTTATGGAAAATATAGACACTGATCGCTCATGAATGACTAACCGGAAGTAGTTTTTTCTGCTTGACTCTTCCGCTTTTGTTTTGGGAGTGAGTTTGTCGTACTTCCGCTGTGAGGCCACCACTGTTGGCTTTATTAAACTCCGTCCTTCAGTGGCCGGGCGCAGAGAGCACAGTCCAGGCTACGAGGATGGTTTGTGTTCACACACTGTTGCGCCTTCCAGGATACTCCGGTTAAAAAAAATAATAATAATAAAAAAAATGTTAACCTCAGCTTTCACTCCTTTATAGGAAAATTGGCTCTGCTTTTCCTCTCTCTTCACTGTGCGCAGCACTTAAAGATTTTTTTAAGTGAAAAGCGGCGGAGAAGTTGTTCGTCATTTACCGAGGTGAGTCGGTTTCACATTTTCCTGTTGGGTTTACATTAGAAGAAGAGATCTGACAGCAGCTCCCGAGTCAAAGGGGAACCGGGGAGCTTCTAAGACGCAAAAATAACCCTTGCAGCCAAAATGTACAGTCGGTGTGCTTCTCTTGGAGGTTAATTACGGAAGGATGTGGGGAAGATGTCATGTTTTGACGAGCACCTTTCATGTAGGACCAAAAAAATATCACAGGAAATATGGTACAGAATAGACAGGTGTTGTGTTTGTGTGTGTGAAATAGAGTTTTAATGGTCAAGTTGGCACATCTTTCTCCTTCATTCAGATCCGGAGTCTACTCTTCACTGATGTTGGCCACTTTGGCACCAATATGGCTCACCGATCTTGTAATTACACTTAAAGCGTGCTGATCCTTCCGCTAGTATTAACAAGTTGGCATCTGCTTCCATGCTTTTTCCGCCTCAGTCAGTCACTTTAAGCTGCCTGCCCATCCTGCAGGTGTGAGCAGGTGTGAAGCTTTTTGGCACGGTCAGTACAGTCAGAGGCCTGCACCTGGACCTGGATTTTGTTTGTGTTTTCTTTCTACAGTGCACTCATACACAAAGTGCATCATGTAGCCAAAAACGATGCAATAGCAGCTCTAGGTTTTTTAGAGCCACAGTACAAGAAACATGCAGTTTTGTGGGGTTCAGTTGCTTTTAGAAAACATTCATCCTGTTTTTCCCACCTGATGTCTCAAATATTGCGGACCTATCCTGAATCCAGTTAAAGTGCAGCACAGTTCACCTTTTAAATCTGCTCTGGTGCATTGTAGCATACTTCATGAAGCCATGTTTTCTTTGATAATGCTATTTGGCAATCTGTGATGTCTTTTTAATCTTAATCATTCAGACTTCTATATAAGGGATAGAGCAGGTGTCTGCTTAAAGCTGGATTTATTCCACTCTCTGCTCCTTCTCGCACTGGAGTTGTTAATAGCATCTATAAATACAGGAGACTGCCACTGAGACCACGAACAATGAGCGAGTGAGTAAAAGTAGTTGAGCCAGTCAAAACACGCTTTTCTCCACCTATGAATGATGAAGTGAGTGAATGAAAATGTTGCACTGGTATTTTCAGTGCATCACCACTACCAGTGTGACATCACAGTGGAGCTGAGCGGGAGGAGCACGCTGCTTATGACACATTAGTATCTTAGCAACAGACAGCATCCTTTTAGCATGCCGCTGTGAGAACAAAACCACTGATCTGGACGCGGGTGCGGTGCTGTTTATATTGTCCTTAAAGCCACCTGGGAATTATTTCAAATGCAATACCACTGAGAATATGTTCGCAACATTTTTTTTTACTAAACTCAGCAATTGTTTCAAGATGTGTGTGTGTGTGTGTGTGTGTGTATTCCCTCTTTCTGTTTTTTCCTTTCCTAGCCTGAGGCTTCTTTAGTTTAGAGGTAATGGCTTTGATCTGGGCTCAGGGCAGCGTGTGTGTGTGTGTGTGTGTCTTTGCAGTGCTTAATCCTGGGTATCATTGGGCTTATCACAGGGTAACTATGACTCTCAAATTGCCCCCAGTGGATTTTTTTTTACACCAGTGTTGTTTTATTTGTACTCATTGAGTATTTTTAGCCAAACAGAACCATTTGTATGATTAAGCCGAATTCTCAAGGTGATCTGATGTAATGGGGATTTACTAATTCTGTTATCTGGGTAAACTTCCACTCATTTCGTTAGATATCACATATGTCAAACGACTTAAAAAAAAACTGTGACATTAAAATGTTACTTCCATTCGACAAATGTCAAACACTGATTTCTGTAATTGTGCTCTCTGCGTGGCAACAGATACAGACACCCAGGGTGTTGGGAGCGTCTCGTGTTCTCTCCTCAGCGGTTTCTCCAGTAATTTAGGATTTGGTTGGATACAGCGTAAGATGAGCACATGCACATGCTTGTCTGTTAGAGTTACGTCAAGGAAACTGCGGTTTATCCTGGACACCAGCCATCTGTGTGTATGTAACAGCAACCTACAGTTGTTTACATTTACATTACATGAGAGTAGCACATTTATTTACTCACTCTTCGTGGCACTGGCAGACACCTTTGAGCTGATGGTGACCACAGGTTATGAATAATGTTGATATTGGCTGTTTATCTTTTTTTCATGACAGCCTAACAGGAAAATCTCTGCACATCTGTTTCTGTCATTTTAAGCCTCGGTAATGTTTCAGCCAGTTTCTGTACCTGCACTCTGTTTTAGTTTGGTCTAATTAATTGTCCATTTACTGAGCAGCCATTTTGGCTCAGGGTAAACACAGGTGTAATTAATAACTCTAATTATGGATGAGGTGCTGACATTGTGTATGCTCACTGACAAGAATGGCATCAACATGCTAAATAGAACAGGACCATAACTTTTATCAGATATACCTGTGTTCACCGGTGTTAACGCAGTGATTTGCAAAGCTCATAAACGCATGTTTTATTCACAGTCGCACGTAGAAAACATATCAAATGTTTAAACTGAGAAAATGTGTCATTTTAAGATGTATAAGGTCACATTGAATTTGATGGCAGCAACACATTTAAAAAAAACAAAAGGCCGTTAAAGTAAGTGGCACTAAAAAGAAACAGCTGGAGGAACATTTTGTGACTAATTGGGTTAAGTGGCAACAGGTCAGTACGATGATGGGGTATAAAAAGAACAAGTATCGATGAGACAAGGTTCAACAATGTGCAAAAAACTATCTTCACAAATTGTGGAACAATTTTCAGCATATTTCAGAATCAATATAAAACTACAAAGACTTTGAATATCTCCTCACCTACAGTACATAATATCATCAAAAGAGAATCTAGAGAAATCTCTGTGCACAAGGGACAAGTCTGGAAAACATTATTTAATGCCTGTAATCCTGTGGTACTGCATTTAAAGTGGGCACGATTCTGTCATGGAAATCATCTAAAGGGCTCGGGAACACTTCCAGGAATCGCTGCCTGTTAACACAGAAATTCTGTTTGGAAAACATGGACCAAAGAGGAGAGGGACCATCAAGCTTGCACCTTGGACCAACTCGAGTCAAAAGCCTGTATCTTGTATGTTAGGGTGGTGCATTAGTGCCTATGGAGTTAGCAATGTGCCCATGCTGAAAGATGTTTACAGGTTTTAGATCAACATATGGTCGCATCCAGTCGACCCCTTTTTCAGGCATATTTCAGCAAGATAAAGCCCAACCACAGCTACTCCAACAGCACAGTACAAGAGCTCGGGTGATAAACTGACCATTTAGCTGTTAGAAAAATTTGCAAAGAAAACATACAACAGAGATCGAGTGCTGCTGAGCAGCTAGAATCCTATATCGAACAAAAATGGGATGACTCGCCACTCCCAAAAGTCCAGCAGCAGGTCTCCTCAGTTCCCAGACATTTATACACTGTTGTGTTGCTGTCAGCAATTTCATAATGACCTTAATGCTGTCTTAAAATAGTACATTTTCTCATTTTAAACATATGATATATTTTCTATGTTCTATTCCGGGTGGCTGCAGCTCAGGAGGTATAGCAGGTCATCTAGAAACCAAAAGGTTGGTGGTTGATATGCCAGATATCCTTTGGTTGCTCTCTGATGCTCCCATCACACAGTGAATGTTAGAAAGAAAACACTTATGCAGAAAAAGTACAGAAGAAGGTGTTTATAGGAATGGGAGTGAATGTGCGTCTATGCTGTGATGCAGGCTGTAACAGGTCTGCTATGATGGTGGCAGAGGATAAATTCATTTAGTCTGTGAAAAAATAACCCTCACCACTTCACAGAGCCAAAAGTAGCATCTTCAGGTGTTATGTTTCCACCAGCTAACTGCACATAATGCAGAGAGTTTTAGTTCACTGTCATGATATCACTGCGCATATTCTCATTGCACAAGCTGAGAATGTGCTGAGATTTGTTATTAATAATCACAGCAGCTCTGTTTTATCTTTTTTTTTGTCAATCGACAGGATGACATATTTGGTTAAGTGTCAAGAAGTATGAAACTAAAAGTCTTTTTGCCTACTTCTGCCTGTTTGCTTTCCTTCAGGGTGATCAGGTGTGACCATGGCCTACACACTGGGCTTGGCCACTGATGGCCAGAAGCGCAGTGTCGGACCTCAGCACTGTGTCACTCGGGTGGAGTTGTCGGTCACCGCGTCCAGCCTGCTAGATCGAGATGTAGCCTCCAAGTCGGATCCATTCTGCGTTCTCTTCCACGAAGTGGATGGAAACTGGGTGGAGGTACAGTAAAGGATGGAGAGACATACATCCTTTATAAGATAAGATAACCTTTATTAGTCCCACGTGTGGGAAATTTGTTTCCCACACCTTTATGAACAAGTGATGAGAAAGACTACAGAAAATGACATGAGAAATGAGAGGATTGTTTTGTTTTAATGGAGCAGAATCAATGGAGAATGGGATGGCAGACTGAAGAGGAAAGGCCGAACAGAGAGTTGATATATTACTGTTAAGATCATAACAGTGTATGTCACACACTGTGTATGGCGACTCCTGGGAGGTGGAGAGAGAAGATTAAAGTGCAGAAATAAAAAGATTGAGGGGAGGATGGAAAATTTGAATAATTCTAAGAAGTGCTTTTAAGGTTACATCCACCATGCTGGCTCCTCGAGGAAAGGGAACCAGAAGGTTTTGTTTGTAGTCTATGATACTCTGCAGGAAGAGCCTATAGGTTGTGAGTCAGATCCAAAGTCATGATGTCTTGACCATCTGGCATCAGCCGTGGCATGCTGAGCTCAATAGGATGTTGCAAGATTTATGAGCGGCATTCCAATCTAAGACAAGCAGTGTAGACTCGGGCAAAGGCACAAAAACCGGAAAGAGAGTCAGTAATACATGTTTGACATTTTTAAATCATTGCCATAAAATCTCAGGTTTCACGAGGATGCGTCATCATGTTAAACAAATCATTTTTTCTGATTTAAACTTTGGAAAAGCACCAAATAAGGGGAAACACCAAAATCTGTTACTGATGACATTTTTCTTAAAGGTGCAGGGTTAAACTGAAGTGAAAGCCATGTTTCCAATTAGAAGTGTGGCTTTCTGTTGCTGCATTTGAGTTGCCTGGAATTTGACAAGCTTACTTCACTTTAACACTCAATAACTGGTAAATTGAGGATTAAAAATGCTTTGAGATCATCAAAAATGAACTAGAAAAGCATTTAGCTGTAAAAAAGTGAAGCATTCTTTCTAATGACATCCAGTTGTGTAGAAATTTACAGGAAAACATCCATCAGCTCCTTTGCTCCTTGCCAGGCTAACTACTTGTCAGTCACTGCCCTAAGTTTCATAGTCAGATTTCATAAAGCTGAGGTATTGATTTTGAAAATGCTTAGGTTGAGACTTTACTGTGACCTTTACCAACCAGCGCGTGGTATCATGGTGGCTACGTGTATCTTTATTGAACAGGCAGTGAAAAACGAATGCCTTTGGCTGCTGCATTAGCTGTTTATTGGATTTTAAGGCCTCTAGTGTTATTTTTTTGACATAGATTTGGAAACATCTGCATTTATAAGTCAGAAACTGGTAACTTTGTGTATAGTGGCTTGGTGGTCCATACCAGTGATGAGAAATGCCCATCGGGGATAAAGCCACTCAGGTGGTTTTAATCATTTTGACTGTGTTAGTATGTACATCTCATTCACTCACCTGTTCCTTGTATCCATTACAAGATGGCACTGAAGTCTAGCTGAATGGCATAAAACATCACTTTATTCTCTTTAAACCAGAGCACAGGTCCAGACAGCATAAAGAAGTGATTATACCTTTGTTTTTGTTGTTGGTGGTTTTTACCGTTGACAAGAAAACTAACAGAGAAGTAAACAACAGCTGTACTGAAATCCTTTCTGGTCAGTAGAGGCTCTCACTGATGTGTGCTCATGACTCAAAGCAGAAAGTTACTGGTTTGAAATCAGCTGCTAATTCTTCTTCTCTGCTTCGGCTTTATGGTCAGCTGGAGAGTCCAAAGCAGAAGAAACAGATCTTAGCTCAGTAGCTTTGATGCACCTTTAATTTATCTGCCGCAGTATAAAGTGCCCCGCTGAATGAGGGGAAGGAGTTAATGGTACAAATATGTGTAAATACGTTTTCCCAAAAGCTCATTGAAATGGTTTGCTAAGGCAAACAAAATGCTTATTAGAACAGTAGTATGACTGTGATTAGGGCTTGTTTGGGTTGTTTCCTGCAAATAGCAACAACTGGGGTAATAGGTTGACGGCAAAACTGAAGTGCAGCAACTCTGTTGCTAAATTCCAGTTGGTTTGATTCAGCTTTGTGACTGTGATATTGTGATATTGTGACTGTATTTTGTATCAGATCTTGGTCAGTTGGTTTTGCTTTTTGTTAGCTATTTTTATATAGTTCTCAGTTCATGGTAATTATGTATTTTTCTTGGGTTAATTTATATTAACAGGTCTTCAAATGCTTCATCCAGCTTTGTGAAGTCAATCTTGTTGCCATTACTAATTCACTTTAAGCGCACTTGAGGCGCAGTAAAAGTACACAGTGCACATCGACTGTTGCTGTGAGCTTGAGTCAGGTTTGAAGCGTCGGTGCAGAGGTCCAACATGAGAAGATGGTGATAATCATGAGGCCATTTTCAAGACTCCAGCACACTGCTTGCGAAAATCAATAGACAGAATCATTGCCAGCTACTATATTTCTAAACAGAGCAGTTTAGCAAACATCTATTTTGAAGATTTCCAGAAACGCGGGGCATGTGATGGAGACGACTGAGCATCGCAGTTGGAACGGACATTTGATGACGTTTAAACTACCAGCTCACTTGCTCAAAGTCCGTATTATGTCGGAACAGCACTGTTAATATTTTGTGCATTCACTGCTAGGAAGTGGCTGTCATGTGTCCTGATCATACATGGTCTATCCATGTAGACCCACTGAGGAAACAAGTTGAAGATGCTCAAGAGGAAGACGGTGATGAAGTCTTGGTGTGTGCAGGCTCCTGCTTCGATGCTTCTGCAGCTAACAGCTGGTCAACAGAGCAATCTGGGTTTTTTTGTGCCTGTGTGTGTGTGTGTGTGTGTTTGTGTGTAGGCGAGTGCCTCGGGTTGCAGCTAGCTGTCGGTCAGCAGGGCATGTGGCTCCGATGTGAAATTGCCAACAGTTACCATAGCAACGGGAAGGGAAACAAAAGCTTAGTGCTCCTAGAGTGAGGCAACGATGGAGGAGGCGAAATGAGGCCCGAACCTTTTCGCGGATATTATCTACAGCTCGCTGTTTTACTCACGCTCAGCTTTCTCACTTCTCTGATCTCCTCCTGTTCCTTTCAGTTTTTTTCTCTGATTGTCTTTCTCGTTCCCGTCGCCAGCCTTCCCCTCTCTAGGTCTCCGTGTCTCAGTCTCTTGTCTATCTTCGTCTGTCTTGTGAGCTAGAGGTGTGAGAAGCAGCTGGGTCCATCGGGGAGGGGAAAGAGAGAAAAAGTGGGTACGAAAGGGTAAGAGTGTGAGAACGAGGAGGCGCGAGAGAGGGAGATGAGAAAAGGGTGCAGCAGAAGGCGAGGGGAAAATTATCCAGAGAAAGACAGGAGGATGAGGAGGAGGAGGAGAGAAAGACAGCGAGGTGATGACATGAATGAGCGACAGAACAAGAAGAAGGCAAAAGAAAGTGAATGACTGTAGCCGTAAATGGGAGATAGCAGCCAAAGTTAGTGTTAGAAAGTCTTTGAAGAATGTGATAGGTCTACAGAAATATGGATCTCAGCTATGTAAATGATGTGGCACCCAAGTATCACACTACTGAGGCTATTTTCTAAATCCAAGGTTTTTTTTTCTCTGAGCTTCCAACTCCAAATCCCAATACTAATCTCAACACGTGTTATAAACCCAGATATAAGCCTGTAACACTGTAAGTGAGAACTCACAGGCAGTGGCATATTCAAACCAGAGGGTTTAAAAATCTAACAGTCCTCTGCAGTAAATGCAGCCTTATTTATTAGATCTACATTTGTGATGCTAAATGATACTCAACAGTAAGTTTTGTTATAATTCATTCCAATGTAAACTGGCCTGTTGCAGATGTTTATAATTCTGTATCATTAGATACCAACATATAGGCTAATAAATGTTGTGATTTTAAGTGCATTAAATCACTGTGTGATGTGTGAATGGCGTGGTTCACATTAAGCCCCATATAACTGACATTTTGTAGTAATTTTCATCTTTAAATACGTTATAAGAATATTAAAAATGTGTCTTAAAAAATAAAACACACCTCTACATTTATCACAACTTCAAAGCTCTACGATTAGTCCCCAGAGTTGCAAGTTTCCAGTCATTTAAACTTCTAAGTTATTAAATTTAGCTGTTCGATCAAAAGAATAGAAATCCAGCACACGAACAGTCAGTTCATACAAGTGTAGGATTAATATTACGTTTAAAACTTTCCACACCAGAGTATTGTTTTGAATTTTCCACTCGTAAATGATTAAGGACTCCCCAGAATATTTGATATGTAATTACACATATCAAAAGTAAGAGCAGAAAATTAGATTTTTTCCTTTTTTTTTTTCTTTTGCATAACATGAAAACACTCAGTGCTAGAATATTATTTCAGTGGCGGTAAAGGCTCCTTCGTATCATATGTAAATAGACTGAATGACTGAAAATGTTGTGCGCCAGACTATTTTAAACTGAAGCTGAACATAATCTGCTCCAGATCGGGTTATGCAGTAAGCACAAGTTACCATGGTGATCAATCCATGTTCAAAGAGACACTGAAAACTCAGACTTTCAGCTCAGTAACTCATAACATACAACAAAGTTAGTGAGTGCACAATAAACACGGGATATTTAGAAGCCTCAGTAAATGGTGGTAAATAGACTGAAGCTTAAAGGAAAGTGAACTTTGGACATGATTCGGGACACAAACAAGACTCGCAAGTTATATTAAAATTGTTGTAGCTGATGACTAAATAAGTAACTTTTGCTGTCAGCCACTGTGTTGCATTTTTTATGGTTATAACACATTAAATTTAAACTGTAAAGCCAAAGCACACTTTCACTGGTACATTTTTGCACCTGCCAGTTGTCAGTGTTTAGCAGAGATTTTGTTGGTGCTGTAGGCTGGTCCTAGTGATTATTTATTAGCAACATCATCACCGATGTCTTTAGAGCCGCTTTGGTTTGTTTCAGTGATTCAACATCTTGGTATTGAGCTGTTGGGCTGAAGTGTCTGCTCAAATCTAAGGCACGAACACTTATAACAGATTGCTTCTAAATTCCTTTAACTCACTATAAATTAAGCTGCGGGATGCACATCTATTGCATTTGCTTTGTTGAAAGTCTATTTATTTATCTATCATAACCCTATCAGTACCTGTACCTTTCATCCTGTACCTGTTTCTTCCAGCTGCAGTTCTACAGCTTAATTTTTCCTGCAGCGGGCAGTGCCTCTATCTGAAGTAATCTCAGTGACCTGTATTGTTGTTTTTCTTTTTTATCTAGTAGTAAACATAAACAGATAAGAAAGAAAGGAGGCATGAAGTGCCAGAGGGATCTGATTCATTTCTAAAGCTCAGTGAACCAGGATCAAATCCACAGAGGCACTGCTATGAGATTTTAGCCTGCTGGCGTGCTGTGATGTCCCAATAATATGAGTTTTTAAGCTACGAAGTGCAGCCATTCTCCACTGCTGCCTTTCCGTGAGTCAGACAGATGGATAAGTGCTGCAAGCACCGGTAGCGGGGTGAAGTTAAAACCTTTTTCCTGCTGGAGTATCTCAGTTCTGTACTAATATCATTACCTACAGTCAGAGAGAAATGTATCTTAGATAAAAGCATTCCCAGTAGCACGAGAAAGGTACATTTTATAGAATAGAATAGAGTAGAATAGCCCTTTATTGTCATTGTACATGTACTGGACAGAATTCAAATAAAATATAAATATAAATAAAATGTAAATAGTAAAGACATCAGGAATAAATAGCAAACAAGAATAGTGAAAGGAGTATATACAATATATATGAACATTGGAAGATCGTATGCAACCACTGGGACCCGTCAGGATCAAGGAATTCATTTCTCTACAACTGTTGCAGGAAATAAAGATGAAAGAAGAAGGTGTAATTGCATAAGAACAGCTAAGTAATAGATGGCGGTACTGCTGTTTGCTGCAGGGGTTTTTGAGTAAAGGCTGGTGAATAGAAAATACACCAGGATTCTGCAGAAATGGAGATTCTTTTGAGGTTAATAAACTGTCTAGATGTGCCTTCAGTAAATGTTACTATGAATAAAAGTGTTAGATGTTGGGAAATGGGCTCAAGAAAAAAACTGTTCGATGTTTGGCTGGTCTTAGACACTATAGGGCAATAGTGATGGCTCCATAGTTTGATGGTTGACATATATGCTTGGCAAACTAAAGGTCACTGTTTGAGTTCCAGCTAGAGACACAAATCCCCTTTGGGGTTGTATCAGGAAGGGTATCTGGTTTAAAACTGCCAAGTGAAATATGTGATGCTATCTGACTCTTTATGTCAAAGGAGCAGCATTACAACAGCATACAATTATTAAACAGATTAGCCTATGAAAATACGTCTACTGTACAAGTGTAAAATTTACGCCCTCCTTCACATTTTCAAAATCCGTTCAGTGAGACAGATTGGAGTTATTGGCGGCTGATTTTGGCCCCTGGTCCTTGTGTTTGACACCAAAGGTTTGGAAGGTCCCATAGGTTTGGAGATCATCAACAAGAGTTTTCCTTTCAAAAAGAGTTTCACTTTTTTGGTGTGTATCAAAGTTCAGTTAGTTTAATTTAAATTCTCCAGACTGAAATTCTAGACATCCAGTGTAAAGTGTTTGTTTCTTTCCTGTGAACCTGCAGAGGGTTAGATGCATTTTTGTAAGTGTTTTGCATTTCATCCCTCCCGTTTCCGTTATTGGAATGAGCTGAACTTTTTTAAGGCCTTTTATATTCAGTGGTGACAGGCTTAGTATATGTGACCTCATTTAATGATTGTACGTGTCGTGGGTGAGTCAGGCTGGAGAGTAGCACGGCCGTGGGATTAGCCAGTCAACTACCTGGTTTAGAAGAGTCAGAGCAAAGAACATGACTCTCACAGCACTCTTTTCAGGCACCCACACCCTCTTATCTGTCTGCTGTCTGGACTGCTCTCTGGGGCCATGAGAACACAGCGCATTGAGAAACATCAAAAACAATGGCTTTAGGGGAAAGGGTCCCTTAAATTGGATAAAGTGCTGTCAGACGGCTGCAGCTTTTTAGGACTTTGTTTTGGTTTAAGGATACATTTACCACAAAGCACCGCAGCAGGCTACTTTAAAAGTTCCGATAAATCTGCTGTTTTTTTATCAACCCAGCGTCAGACCAAGGTATAATATTTATAGGAATCTATAGTAATTCTGGGGATGGCAGGTAGGAGGCACATTGTTGGGTCTCTGTCTAACACACTCCCACAGATTTGATCATCACTGGCCAAGTTTGTTTGTTTTTTTTAGCTGCATCTTGTTATCGGGGGGAATCCTGGCTTCGAGTGGGCGCCACAGACTTTACGACACGCCGGTGTCACAATCAGGGATGCTGAAGAGTTGCCCGAGGCTGATTCTTGTTTAATGCGTTCAGTATTAAATGTTTTTAGAGAAGTGTGTGTCAAAACTAATGTTAAGACTACACATCATTCTCTTGGAATCTCTAGAGTAAAAAAGATTGGAGAAACACAGACACACGCATATGTAGCAACTCAAACTATTTTACAGTCGTTTGGTGCGTTACAGTTGCCAGATACATATCAGTATCACTTTATTAAATTGCATATGCATGTACATACTTTGCTTTTTGTAAACACAAACAGTAATATTTTTATACTATATAAAAACTTGTTTGTTTGTTTTTTGCAGCTTTGTAAGATTTCAAAATAAAATCCAATTTTAATTTTAATTTTAATAATTTTAACTTTTGCAATTAAATACTCAAAAGTTAAATTGATGATTATGTACGATAGTATTTACATGTATTCATACTAATAATTCAATTCATTATTATGTTTCTAGTCATTTATTTTTAGTCTTTTAAGCTTTCATTAAGAATTTACAAAGCTTCTGTATAAATTGCCACATGTTGCAAGATTGCAGAGACTACCCAGTCTTGCAGTTTTCCACAACAGAAGAGTCACAGTTACTTTAGGCTATTATTTTGTAGGGGTGGGGGAAAAAATCGATACTGTGTAGTATCGTGATATTTTGTTTGCTAATAATGTATCGATACAGGGACAGCAGAAATCGATATTTTGTTACAAAATGTTTTTTGTGCTCTGACTTCAGAGCATGTTGATCCTTTTTCTGAGCAAGAATCCTGACATTCCTTCACTGTCCAAATGTGTTTAACTTTTTTTTGGCAGCAATAAACATGACAGTTTACTTATTTTAATTTAAGACATGTTTTATTTTAATTAAGTTTAAAACTTTTTTATTTAATGTAAAATTATTTTTTGTTTTAATTTACTTTCAAATTCTTCAGTTGCTGAATGGGCTGCATAGTTTTCATAAACTGCATAGTTCAGAATAGCTATAATTGTACCAGATGGTTGCGTTCAGTTAAGTTGGACTAGACTGTAATACAAACCGTTCAGTTTGTCAACAATAAAACTGAAATGAGAGAAAGACTGAGTGTGAGACTTTGATATTAGATAAAATGAACATTGATAAAGTTTACCTTTATGTACAGAATTTGAATATCACAAAATATTTTTAAAAATTGCAATAATATCGTATTAAGTATTGTGATAATATCGTATCGGGAGTTGTATGGTGATTCCCACCTCTATTATTTTGGCATTCAAGTCTTGTTTAACCTCTTAAGACCCAAACTCTTCCACACCATGCATTTTTAATTTTTCTTTGATATTTGGGCATATTGGGGCCCAGTGAATGTAAAAACAAAGAATTACCAGATTTTCTTTTACCCAATTTTTGTTTCTAAGAAAAATAAGAGCCACAAATGAGGATATTCGTTTACAAATTTCGATAGAACGGTAGCAGTATAATGTCCTTCTAAGTGGATATCAGGCCTTTGTAGAGCAAAATTGAGTGTTTGGGTCTAAATAATCAAAAATGTGATGTCCACATATGTGGACGCCAGGTCCTAGGAGGTTAAGGAACATGGACAGAAAACCAAGGGAAAAACTAGCCACTTGTGTTTTGCTGAAAGGGATGGAGCTTAGATTTTGTGGTGACTTTGAGACTGTTAGATGCAGGTGAGCAGCTATTTTGGTAATGTAGTGCCTACACAAAACCAAACTCTACAGGCAGGATTAACAAAGCTCTTTGTTAATGGTGGTAGAAAGCAATCCAAAACACAGGAACAAGGAAAAAAGGTCCAAACTCAAGACTCGAACTGGTAGAGGACACACAGGAAATCATAACAGATATCACAACAAAGGACAACCAAAGCTCTTTCTACAAACTGACACACTAAGACTAATCAGGATAACAGGAAACAACTGGGTACAAGAGGTGAGGCTAATGGGGTATAACAAAACAAAGGAAGTAAAACTAAGGATAAAACACAAAGGACTGCCAAAATAAAATAGAAACCAACTTAGCAGAGAGATGAAGACCTGACAACAGGACACAAGAGCATACTGTTGAGGAAGAAATAACCTAGGTCATGATCAATTAAAAACAAGCGCTGGACAGAGCTCGATAGTTCAGGACCAGGACTATGACACGCTTGTGAAACGTTAAAAGGGACAATACTGGAATTATTTAATTTTTACAGCATTTTTCTCTCCTTGTTTCTTGACCTTTAGCTGGGACGCACTGAAACAGCTGTGAACAACTTGAATCCAGTGTTTGGGGTGAAGTTCCAGGTGGACTACCACTTTGAAGAAATCCAGAAACTTCGCTTTGCCATGTTCGATGAAGACAAGTGTGCCACACATCTCGATGAGCACGACTTCCTGGGAGCATTTGTTTGCACACTGGGAGTGGTACTGAATGATTTCTTCTTCTTTGGTTTGAAGTATATTCTTTATAACTACAGGTATAGTCTAGAGAAGACGGGATAGGATAAACTGAACGAGATGGAATTTATTCTTACAATTAGATGCAGACTGTATTTTAAAGTGGATTTTTGCTCAATTCCGAAAATAAATAATTGTTGTCCTGATTGTCTCTTATCCAATAGATTGTGTCCAATAAGAAACTTCACAGACCCCTGATCTTAGCCAATGGGAAGCCAGCTGGCAAAGGATCCATTACAGTAAGAATGTCTACTGTCTCTTAAAAGAAAATATTATGAACTATGAACTGAATATTATGAATATTATGAACTTATTTGTTTTTTTAAAAACCTCATTTACAAAAATAAAATAGAAATGGTCCCGAGAAGAGACCAGATTATTTAAGGGTAAGTTCCCGTTGGATCATCAGTTATGTTGGTTTAAATAAATTAAGTAAAGACACCCCAAGCTTGTTAGCGTTAGTATTTTCCTTAAACTGGGGTGTGACGGGTCGCCATGTTGCCCCCAGATCTAATTAGAAGTAAGTGACTCAGAGCATGACCGCCATCATAACCAGCCCTCAGACCCTCTGAGGATCTGTTTAAAGGGTAGTCAGCAATCTAATAGTGCTGTATAAGGAATATATGGAAGTCACTAACCTGGTGACCTGGCCATGCACCTGATTGAAAGGTGTCAATGTCTCAATGCACTTAATGAGTTACAAGACAAATGCAAAAAATGCACACTGTGCTGTGTCGCCTAAACTTGCTGTTGTCTGTGATGTTTGCGTGAACGGTATGGCTACAGTCGCTGATCCTGAAGTCATCGAGGCTGCTGCCGTTACCGTGTTTGCCAACTGTTCCTGTTGCCTGTTGTCGATGTAAATGTTAATATTTGTGAGTGCTTCTGCTGCCGCTAATGTTGTGCGATGCTCTTATTTTAGATAACAGCGCAGGAGTTGTCTGACAACAGAATCATCACTTTGACCCTGAGTGGGCGTAAACTGGATAAGAAGGTAGGCAGTTAGACCCCCGCACGCTCACACACGTACACACACACACACTCAGGGTGCAAATCCAAACACACATACACACACACTCAGATATATTTGAGCATGCATACCACTTTAGGACACACAAATACAGCCCACACAGACAAGATTTAAATGCTTTCATAGTCTTCACCTTTGTCTGCCAAACAACAGGCTATCAGGTGCTGGGGTAGCTGGAATTAAAACTGTTGTTTTGACACATTAAATATGTATTTTTGGATGTTTGCTGAAACAACTGCAACCTCCAACAGTCATTCCTGCAGCATTTAGTATTGGCAGATAATTTTGATTTAGTTCTAGT